ACTCCTGCTAGAACTGCTTCAGCTGAATTCAGGGATGTTTATGATTAGTATGTCAATGACTCACTAGATGTTGGTTGTCGGATGTTAGCCTCCATGACTCCCGAGTAATTGCGCAATCATGAATGCATGATTGCTTGGGATATGATATTCTCACTAAAGCCTATGTTTCAATTAGAAGCCAGGTTGAAAAAGTTTGACATAATCAAGGAATTGCTTGCATGTACAATGACCGATGGTTCTTTAGTCAATACCCACATTTAAAAAATGAAAGGGTATATTGACCGATTAACTTGTCTTGGCTTCCCAATAAAAAAGCAATTGGAAATATATTTGGTTCTCAATTCCTTACCCAAATCATATTATCAGTTCGTTTTGAACTACAATATGAAGGGTTTGGATAAAACTCTCACAGAGCTTCATGGCATGCTTAACACTGTTGAGAGGAATATAAAACTGAAGTTGTATTTAAACAAATCAAAGAAGGTTATGATGATCAAACCTAAAAGTAGGATAGTCAAGAAAAGGAGGGCGGTTGCCAAGTGAAGAGGAAAGATTGGAAGTTCCAACAAAGATAAGGGCAAAGAAAAGATTCATGAGGATGCAGTATGGTATAACTGCAATCACAAGGGGCACCGAAAGAAAAATTACCCAACCCGACTGGCAGAGAAAAAGAAGCAGAAGGTTGTTGTTGGAGCTTTAGGTTTGTTTACCAAATATGTTCACTTCGATTATGACTTTTGGGTATTAAATACCAGGTGTGGTACTTACATTTTGTTACTCTACAGGATCTAAGAAGTGAAGAAAAGATAAAACTAGACCTAGGATGGGCAATGGAGCTAAGGTAGTTTTTGTTGCTCAGGGACACATATGATATGAAGTTGCCAAATGGTCTTACTTGAGCACTTAGCAAGTGTTTACATGTACCTAGATTTACTAGGAATATAGTTTCATTCTCTCAATTACAAAAAAAAAACTGAATTTATGTTTATTTTCAGTGATAATACAACTTCTATTTACCTTAACAATCTTTTGTATTTTGTGGTAAAACACCACAATGTTATTTATGAAATTAATAGTTGCAATTACAAATCAAACGAATTAAGCGGGAGCTTAAATCAGACCTACTTGTGACATATAAACAAAAAACATATAACCAAACTCCAGGCGGACAAAGTGTTGGAATCATGTGGTGATTCATATAATACATGTGAGTCTTGTTTATTAGGCAAGATGACAAAGGTGCCTTTTAAAGGCAAAGTCGAAAGGGCTACAAACTGCTAGGAGTTATACATATTAATGTATGTGGGCCTTTCAGTTAAGTCACAAGAAAAATTCATCGCTACTTCATAACCTGCATTTGTTGGTTCATATTATAATATTGATTAATATTGTAATAATTTATTAGTTAATATTATATTATATTATTGGTTAGTATTATAAATAATCTTAATATTAATTTATAAGTTTAATGTGGTTTTTTTTTTGTAGGGAGATGATACATTTGTTGAGTAAATCCCTTATGTGATAGTCAACAATAATTCAGATTTGGTTAATTTAGAGGAGAGAATGTCGAAGCAAGTGGCAAAAAAAACGAGCAAACACAGCTCCTAAAGAAGGGAAGGAGAGGGCCCAATGTTGGAAATATTTTGATGTCTTGTTTATTGAAGAAGACATGGTAAATAGGAAACATGCAAAGTGCAATTTTTGTTCCATAGTACTTGAAGCCGATCCAGTAAGAAACGGTACTTCTAGCCTTAAAAAGCATTATTCTAATTGGGACAATAATCCCGAGTTTTCCATGAAAAACCACAATCACTTATTCTTTAAACAATCTAGTGGGGAAGGTAGTGTGCAAACTTGGAAGCTTGATGATGGTAGAGAGCTTTATAAAATTTGTTTGTTATTGGTGAACTGCCTTTAAATTTGTGGAAAATGAGGCCTTTGTTGTTTACACTAGTGCCTTTAAATTTGTGGAAGATTTAGTTTGCCATCGTGTCACAAAGTCTCTAAGGATGTTGAAAAGTATTATATAGATGAAAGGAGTAAGTTATTGGCTTATTTAAGTAACCCAACAAACACCGTCATTTGACTATGATTACTTGGACATCCTTGTGTCAAAGGGTGAACTACATGGTTGTTATGACTCATTTCATAGATGACAATTGGGTAATGCATAAACTAATTAACTTTAGACCCATTGACAGTTATAGGGGGGATGATGTGGGTCATGAATTGTTAGATTGCATACATGGTTAGCGGATAAAAAATGTTATGACTATGACAGTTGATAATGCATCTAGTAATAATAAAGCGCTAGAGTATTTGGTGAAAAAGCCCAATATGTATGATGGTGGGAAATATTTCAAGTTAGGTGGATGACGCATATTCTAAACCTAATTGTGAAAGATGGTTTAAAGAAGAATAATTATCATATTGAGTGTGTGCAAAAGGCGGTTAGGTATATTAGGCGTAAAGAATGAGTGAGAGAGATATATATGTAGGTGAGATGACAGAGAAATAGGAGAGAGGAAAATGACGATTCGAAAAGATTTGTCATGATGTTTTCTCTGCACGTCATGAGAGTTTGATTGGTTGGGGAAGAGTAATAGACAACATATGTCAGAAGAACGTGCGTGAGAAATGTTCATTTAAAAAAAGAAATCTAATGACGTCATAAAAGATATGACCGCGATCTTTTAAAACATTTTGATCATAAAAAGAGTGGTTTATTGCACCATTTGCAGATAGATGTGATGTAGGCTTTTCTGTTCCTTGTTTGTTTATCTCTTCTTTAATGTGTTTTACTTGATTTGTATTCTGTAAAATTGCAGGGTTATAAGGCCATTTATTTTGAGAAGGAAGAGGAAGAAAGATGAGATGGAGAAGTAGCTTCCATAAAAACACAGGTCATACTAAAATGTGACATGTGAGCATGGCAGAAAGTATGATATCAGCAAGTAAGTGATGTTGGGAGGGTTGGAATGGATTTAAGTATCTCAGGCTCGATGGCTCAACAAAAACAAAGGAAAGAGGCACTTTGCTGACACAATTTAATGCTCCAGATTCCCCCTTCTTCATGTTTCTTTTACAGACGGCACTCGAGCTGGAGGTCTTGGTCTCAACTTACAGACGGCAGATACTGTGATTATATTTGATAGTGATTGGAAATTGGAATCCACAGATGGACCAACAAGCAGGTAAAGGAACTGATAGGAGAGAGATGCTTGAAGAAAGGTACAAGCTCTGTAGGAACTGAAAGTGGATGAAGGCCGTTGAATATGGAGATCAAAACTTGAAACATTTTTCAGGTAAAGGAAGGCGGGAGCAGCGACCGCCACCGCCTTAACCATCTCGAAGAAATCCATATCGTCCATCCGAATTGTCACCACCTTCTCCTCCTCCGTTAGTTAGTGGTAATAATATCTATATCTATACTATATTACAAAACATTTGACAAAAACTCTTAAAAGTCACTTTTTATGCGTAAAGTACTGTTTATTAATGTATATTACTTAAAACTCAAGATTGCAAGTAGATTGTGCGTAAATACAACTTATTAAAGCTCCATGTCTGAATTCGTGTGATTAACTACAGATAAACATAATCAAATACAAGATAAACATCTTTATAAAATGTTATATTATTAAACCAAAAATAAATTATTTCGTTATTAAACTTAAAATTAAATTATAATAAATTAAAAAATTACATTAAAAAATGAGAACTTTTAAATAATTAATTTGATATTAACATTGATATATATATTTTTTCAAATTTTTATGATANTTTCTTAAAAACACATAAAATCGTATTATAATATCGACATAGACAAATAATAAAATAGAATATTAAAATCAAAACGTGTCTAGCTGCATTGCGCAAGTACTCTTCTAGTATTATTAAACCAAATATAAATTATTTTGTTATTGAACCTAAATAAAATTATAATAAAAAAATTGAATTAAAAAATTACACAAAAAATGAGAAATTTTAAATAGTTAATTTTGACACTAATATCGATATATTTTGTTAAATTTTTATGATATATTTAAACTTATATTTGATTCAAAAATAAAAACATTATCGTTTTTTTCAAAATCACATAAGACTATATTATAACATCGACTGAGATAAAGAATAAAATAAAATATTAAAATCAAGATGTATCTTAGTGCATTGTGCGAGTACCCTTTTACTAATATTATAAAACATTTAGCTTTTTGTTCTTCAAAAAAAAAAACTCTTAATTTTTGACTTAGAATTATCTATACTATATTATAAAGTATTTGATAAAAACTTTTAAAAATAATTTTTTATGTATAAAGTATTGTTTATTGATGTCTATTACTTAAAATTCAAGATTACAAGTTGATTTTACGTAAGTACAACTTATTAAAGCTTCATGTTTGAATTCGTATAACTAACTGCAAATAAACATAATCAAATACATGATAAACATCATTTTAAATATAAAAAATCTAAAATATAATTAAGATAATCATTGAGTTCTAACATAATACTTCATTATTATCTTAAATTTTTTTTTATTAAACCAAAAATAAATTAGTTTGTTTTTAAAATTTAATTAAATCATAATAAAAAATTGAATTAAAAAATTACACAAAAAAGAACTTTTAAATAGTTAATTTGATACTAATATCGCTTATTTTATCAAAATTTTATGATATCTTCAAGTTTACATTTCTTTCAAAAAAAAATTATTTTCCTTAAAACCACATAAAATCGCATTATAATATTGATAGACTCAAAATTAAAACAAAACATCAAAATCAAAATGTATCTTGTTGCATTACGCTGAATATTCTTCTAATAAATTATCAATACATACAAAATCGTTCGGTTTCTAAAATATTCCTATTTTTCAAATATCAACTTATTTGAAAACCTCGTTGATCCATTTCTATAAAACAAAAAATCATAAAAAAATAAATTTAAACAATTCGATTTTCAGTTTACAGCTTTATCTTATTGAAGCAGGTACAAGTATGGGGAAGAGGCTGATGACGATGGAAGCAGTTTTTATGGAGAAAAGCAGACATGGAGGTCGCATAAGAGAAGGATGCCATATGATCAATAAGGTAATTGCGAATCGAATCATGTCCATTATGTCATTCTGTTTTTGATTAAATAATAGTTCATATTATGATGCGTTAGCTTCGACAGTCTTTAACCTTAAATATGATTACAGTTTTAGTTTGAGTATCAACATTTTAGCATGACAACTGCTGTCCAGATCCATAGTGCATCTCGTCTGACGCCTATTTGCTTCTCCATTTCCCCTCACGTTGCTGCTGCTCCATTTTGTTGATGCATCTCATCTGGTACCTTCCATTTTCTTTTCATTCTTTAATTCGAGACGAAGAGGAATCTCATGCTTACATACTTATAATAAGAGATTTGCAATATTAAATTGAGGTGGATTCTATGATCTTCTTTTTGGTAGGATTTTGTGTGTAGATAGATGTTCATGTAGAAGTAGAGGAAGAAAGTTTTATGTGTTAATTCAATATATGCATATTAGGTGTTTGATAAAATACCTCAATGATAATCAACGCTTTTTTTTCTTTCCCAAATCCATTGGCTTCAAAGTAACTGTTGTTTTCATGGGGTCTTGATCTTTAAAACCACCCAGCTATTTTGCATATTTAGTGTCACTTGGGGTGTTGTTGAAGAGAGTATATTTTCTTGAGGTCTTCCTTTTTACTTCTCTTACCATTAGTGTTGTTCATTTGTGAATGAACTACTACTTGTACCACCTATCATGAATTATATATAAATGTATTGATCCAAGTTTTTTATTTCACAATGTGATATATGGCAATTTATATTTTGTTGTGATTTATATTTGCAAAGCCATATACATAAAAGGTAATATATTTACTTCAAATTGTCATATATAATCGCATAATAGATCATACAGAAGGTTAGAGATCGTAATCTTTTGTCATTCAGATTCGTCATTCAAAACTCTTACCAAACAATTAATTTTCCTTCTGATCATACATAGCTTCTTAATCATTCTAACCCTTAATCATTATGCACCAATTCTTAAGCATCTTCCAAACAACCTCTAAGTGCAAATGACCCTTGTTCTGTTATTGGTTCTTTTCAGTATCAGACACAAGATATCAAATTTCATGAGAGTTTGATGTCAAAGAGTTAACTAATTTATGAGATGAGGCCATAAAGTTCTAGCCCACTAGCACCAATACAAAAGAGTATGAATTTTTAGCAATCGGTGTTTAATATTTGGGGATTTTTATCTTCACTAAGAAAATTCTTTATCCAACGTTTAAGTATCAAGGATTTGGAGGAGAAGAGGCTCAAGATCAAGCCCAACGATCTCAAGTTCAAGTTGTAGGATCTCAAAACCCTCACAAAGTTACAACTAGTATTATGAATATAGGTCAAAGATCGTGTGAGAAGGAGAGTTAAGCGTAAGAAGGGATCTGAACCCTTGATCACCTTAATCTCAAACAAAACTATGAATTGCACCTGATATGAGGATTGATCCGGTGCATTTTATCCTATTGAGCATCCAAGGGTGGAGATGTCTTCTTACGCTTGTCACCTTAACTCTTCTTCTCACCGGAACCCAATCCTAAGTGAACCAGAACTATTTTTGAAACATTAATTTTGTGTCTTAGCATATATAATGGCAATGTTATTCGGTTTTATTTATAATAAATTGGAATTTAAAAATTTATGTTCCAGTTTGTTACACTAATTTTCTATTCTGTTAAATGTGTTGTTAATCATTTTTAATATCTATACTACCTTATAAACCATATTTGAAAAAAAATCTTAAAAACAATTTTTAATACATAAAGTACTGCTTTTTAATGCATAGTCTTAAAAGTCTTAAAAACAACATTACAAGCTTGATGTACAACTAATCAATGCCAAACTCTGTATTTCACGGCTATGCTGTTATATCGGTCAGAATACAAAATATTGGTCAGGACCGATATTCGATATATCGGTTATATCGGTGATATATCGGTTATATCGGTGATATATCGGTAATATATCGGTCCAAAATAGCGGTTAACATAATATTTCTTAGAATTATATATATAATATGCATTAATTAGAGTTTAGAAATATAGTTTCAAAATTAAAACATCACATCATCTAAAGTGTTCAAAACCGAGCTAATCTCGCGGTTTTAAAATTGTTTTGATTTCTGCTTTGAGTTTCTTAATTTCATTCTGTTTAAGTTTCTTAATTTCATTTTTTGTAAGAATCATCATCAAGAAGAAGAAGAGGATGACGAGGATTTAATCTCGAGAACCACTGATGGTGCTTCCATAATTGAAATTGAACTTTTTAATTGAATGTAGATGAAAGGAGGAACGATCAGAAAGTTAGCTCTCATCGTTCTAAGCATTATGAGACCGAGCAGAAAAGAGACATCATCCCTCAAAATGACCAGAAAAGAGACAGAGCTTCATTCTTGTTGGAGGTTTGTATCCTTGCTATTGTATACAACTTCTCTTGTAGCTTCTTGATGCTTGAGTATGAGTTTGGGAGTGTTTTTTGTAAATGAAGGTCATACAATATATACAGTATTTAAAAGAAAATTTACATGTGTATGAAGGAGCATATCAAGGTTGGAGTCCAGAGCCCACAAAATTGATGACATGGGTATAATCTATCATCACTATCACATCTGCATGTTGTTATTGTGATATTCTTACTTGTTAGGATATAATCTGTAGGGTTTAGGAATGGTCCAATTTGTACATTGATTTTTCTCATAAAATCCTTCTTTTTTACACCACCAGTATAACCCACCACATTTTGGTACCCCACCAAATTTGATTGTTTCTATATACATCTTGGTATTTATCTGGAACATAGCTTTTATATCTGGAACTGGAACTGGAACCTTCGGTTCATCAACAAAAGATGGTTTGGTCATTCAAGTGCTTCTCAACTGACCCCTCAGTTGTGTTACCTTGGTCTGTTTTGAAAGTTAGTACTGGACGGTTAGGATTCTATAGTTCATATCTATGGCATGTACAATAGACGGAATTCTGCATAGAAGGTGTTCATTATAGAATCCAAAATGTAGCCATGGATGTAGGTTGAGCATCCTCTCGTGTTATGGATTGTGATAGTCAATATGGTTTTCTTTTGAATTGGGTTGTGGGTATATCTTCTTCTATGCTTATCATTATTTCTATGTGATTGTTCTTATTTAAACAGCTTATGATTAATGAAAATTTATAGTTTTCATTCTCTCCAATTTATTGTTTCTTTAACATAATTAAATTATATTGGATTGATGTTGTAGCTAGATTATAGTTTGTTTTATTTGATTTGCATTATCATACAATCTTTAATTGAAGTTGTAATTGGAACCATAGCTTTTATTTATTGAAAAAGTATTAAGTTGTAAAGACTAATTGCAAATCCTATCTTCATAATGTCTTAAAATCTACTTAAAAAACCACCAAGCTTCAAAATCATTTGCATTCATTGCTTTCGTCGTATTACGCGGGTACATACACAACTAGTATTATTTTAACCAAAATTGTAAAATTCTAAGATATGATATATTCACATATTTTGTTAAAAACTTAAGTTAATTACATTTGATTCACAAACTAAAAGCATAAAGATAAACTAATTACTGAACTTACAATTATGTACTGTATATATCTAGAGGGAAGTTTTGTATGAAAACCAAAATTATTAAGAAAACTACACACAACATGCCATGTGTCCCTCTTCAGAATGAATATCCATCATAAATCACACATTCATGATTAATATGTTATAACATTCATGATGAATAACATATCCATATTCGTGAAAAATATGTTACATCTCACGCTATGAATGGTCCGTCCGTTCTTAATCATTCTTAGATTTCTAACGAGACCTGCCCTTAAATATAGTGTGAGGTTCATATGAGAAGTACCAAAATTTTAAGATTGAGAGAAGCAATCTAGCCACTGGTTTAAGAATTCTATTTTCAAGTATTTTTTTTCACTAATCCAGATAAATATGGAAATAAATAAAATATCCCAATCCATCTCCTATTTTTTCTATGATAGTTTTTGAATATTGATAGTATCAAATTTTTATCCAATTTTTCACTTTGAAATTATCGACGATTTTCAATCTACAAATTGAATTAAACTATATTTGCCTAAATCTCATATGTGAATATGAAGGTCAATGTTCTTAACTATAACTTGTACGTGAATCACCACAAAAACATGGCAGCTTCATGCATGGAAAATATCCGCCTGTGTTCCACTAATAAAAGCCATCAGATTACCGACAAGCTTGTCGAAGAAGGCTTGGCTTGTGATTTCTATCAACAACGGACTACCAGCAACAAATCCATCACCGGCAGAAAATGTCCGTCGCTAATTCCGTTTGTAACTTTTTCCCACTTAATTAGAAAATTTTAAATAGGACTGAAATAATCTAGCGGAATAAACCACCGATAACCGTTAGTGACTAATTAATTAATCAAATAAGTTAAGTGACAAAATATATCTGTGAAGAATCCGTCGATGAGTTTAAAATTACCAACGGATTCAATTTTTTGTTTTTTAAGATTAAAAATTGAAATTTTATCACGGTGGATTTTTCACCCACTAATCCGTTGGTAATTGTCCGGTTCCTATATATTTTTTTAGTTATTTTACCTGTAAATTAAAAAAAAAAAAACTAAAACTGTAAACAAGAAAAACCAAATATTATACATTCAAATTAAAAAAAAACTACAAATTGTTCCAGAGCACTTTCAAATTACAAATTAAAATTAGTTGTTCACCTCAAACAATATTCAACAAACAAACTACTAAACTGGAGGATCACTTAATGGAAAAGGAAACTGAGATTGCGTGAACTTCAGGACCATCTCCCACATCGCTTCCATCTCTTTCCAATTTGTCTACACCCTTTGTTCTTCTCGACGCCTCATCTCTTCAACCCGGGACTCTAAAACTTCAACTAACAAATATAAGACAACATAAACGGAAGTAAAACATCCACTAACATTAGAATTAGACATTGTGACAAGGAAAGAGTATAAACCCGAGTATCAGCAGACGAGATACTACAGGAAGTGGCGGTGCTAGTACACCACACACTCTGACCCAACACATATCGAGAATCCACGTTGTACCGAAGCCGAACGGGCAACCTTTTTTGCTCCCACTTGTTGCCTAGGTCCATAGCTCCAGATCAGGTGGGAGGATAGTATTTATCCTATATATTAATAAATAAAAATTACAAGTGAAATTCAAAAGTTGGACAGTATAACATTTGTAAGTCAGACGTTTCTAGGTTAAAATTAAAATATCCTGTCTAACAAATGGCAACCCAAAATAGATATACAAGACAATCATAAATTGAAGGTAAATAATTTTAACATTTACCCTACAATTGACAACCCAAACTAGATATATAAGACGAGATGAATTAATGTTAAACAATCATAACGTTTGTCCAATAAATGACAATCCAAACTAGATATATAAGACAATACAAATTAATTTTAATTAAATACTAACGTTTTCTCAATAAATGGCAACTCAAACTAGATATACACATCGAGCTAAATTTTATCAAGTATGTACGTAGAAAAAAGCTTTCAGTAACTTGGCTCCATCCGAAAGTCGTGTAGTCCCTTTGACTCCTGCTTCCGCTCCACGAAGAGGACGACTTTGAACTCGTCCTCTTCTTATGGGTACGTCTGAAGAGGTCAATAGCTAAAACGGGTGCTTGCTACAATCATCAAACTATTCTATTAGTAGTTATTTATAACATAAGAACAAAAAAATGAACTTTACACTTGGTTTTAAGGCCTTACCAGTTGTCTTCTATGCTCTATGAACGGCAGGGACTCGACGGTGTGTTTGGTGTATCCACTGTCTACCAAGGTGTAGCGGTTCCGTCGTGCTACAATAGAATTAGATTTCCACTCATGTATGTTCCACCGGTCTATCATGTCGTTCCATACACGTGCTGATGGAGCCATTGTGGGGGGAATGGCTTCAAAACCAACATATCATTATTCACATCATTAGCATGATATGTAGGCCTGTGTGCCAAGGCCTGGGCAACAGCTGCTTTTCTGGCCACACTCAACCCATCAATGTAGGTCTTCTCCGACCTAACTTCCCAAACTACATGCATTGCCACCTCCTGCTTGGGATGCCCATAGTAGTACCCCTACACATTCATAGTTACAAAGTTAGTTCTAAGTCGAAACTAATTTGTTCCCATATAATGAAACAAATACAAACATGGAACCGCACTTACATATGTCCAAACCTCTTGACAGATTTCTCCCTAAGTGCATCAGGCAATGTCAATCATGGATTGGTTCATTGACCTAATCTATCGAACGACATGAGGATCACTGAAACCACAAAATTGATATCAATTAGCATTATGATCATTTATCATATTCATACAAGAACAATTAATAATAAATACACTTGTTCATTTCCATCCACTGATATGTCATAACTTTTTGAAGGGTTCAGTAGCTGCTCTAGAGCATTGGCCCTGCGGGTCGCCTGAGACTGAAGGTCCTTGGGTGTGAATGCCCCGCTACTTTGCCCAGATGCCCACCTCGACCACCATCACCTCGTTCAGTGGGTGTATGTGACATGCTTGTTGTCACGACGATCATTGGCAACTTCGATAGCTTCTTCTTCTGTGACAAGACAAACGGGTTCATCCACGCCTTCATTTATACCTGTGGATGTTATTATTTTATTTTCTTGGAAAATTGTTCCTCGTCTACATTATTATCAACAGGTACTCTCGTCGCACATTGCGCTAAGTCATAGACCCCGCTTGGCTTTGTCTTGACAACATACCCTATTCCTTTAATTCCTCCCACGACTATCGTGCATAGTATACTTTTTCAACTTGTGATGTTAGAACAAACGGGTTGTTTGTTCCGGGCCTAGATCTATGTTTGATTTCGACCAAATTATGTTTTGGTTCAACTCGAACGTTGCAAACTATATCAAACCATGTGCATCGAAATAACAAAAACAACACAACGACCATTTATGTGATATTAGATCTCTAGGATTTCCTCCAACAAGCCACAATAGTAAACTTTAAACTCATTGTAACAAGAACCTTCCACGCACACTACACAATTGTGTTTTGTCCGACCATTACCGTGTGTTAACATGTGGAACTTGTAAATGTTGACAAAATATCTTGGTTTGTTCGAAAGTAAGGGAACGGTCTTTGTGCTAAAACTCTTATATGATCAGCATTGGGATACAACCCAGAGATAACCTATAATTACGAATAACCATGTCAGTTGTAAAATATTCTTATGTAAGTATATTTAATATATATACACACACACACACACGCACACTTACATGGTTCTCAAACTAACCCACAAATTGTTCATCTTTGCGCCTATTGAGACCTTCTTCATTAATATAGGGCTCATTATGTTTAATCCAATCATTGAACACATATATGAAAGGTAAGAATTCTTCACAATCAACAAGATATATGTGTAAGCCTTGTGCATATCTTCAGCTGATAGCACTCCATGTGATTTGGCCTTATCAAATAATCTCTGACAAGGGACTTTGAATATGCTCAACTGATCGTCTAAAGATGAACATTCAGGGAAGAAATTCCTATCCTCACAATTTAATCATGTCTCTATTGTTGGATCAAAATGCAAGAAAGCAATAGGTAGATAGTTCATTCACCATATATGACTCCACAATCAAACTTTCTACCCTTGCTTTGTTTCTTATTCTCCTTTTTAACGACCCTAGACGTCTTCCATAGAGATACACCCATAGATATTGATCCGGACTCCCGACCATCGTTTACATACCATATGTATCACAAGGTGTTCCATTGAATCAAAGAACCCAAGTGGGAAGACTCTATCTAAGTTGCAAATAGATTGAATAATACTTGTAT